AAGGTCAACATATTTATAATGCTATAACCTGGACGAAACGCGGCGTATTCGCCGCAAGGGGTTACCGCCCCAGTCGTATACGGATAAAGGTAAAGGGTGGGTGCCTCAACAGTCCCGTTCGGTTATTGATTGCATGCGTTTGAATTTGCGCATACCCGTTTTCTTATTTGTGTAGCTGGGTGAGTTTTGCATGTATGGTGACAATGGCCAGTTTATACAGATAACCTGTTTGTTCTTGTTGATTGTCAATAAGAGTTAGTGAATTGCGGTTCCGGGTAAATGGGCGTGCAATTTGCTGTAGCGCTGACATGGAACATTGCTGGACTTTGCGCCAACGGACGATGAAAGGTGTAGTGTCTGAGTCAGGCTTCGGGCCTAAGAGTGCCGCTCTTGAAGAAGAAAAATATAAAGGAAGTTATGGAAGACATCATCTTTGGCCATCCTTGTAAACCTATTCAATAACTAACCACCCCTTTTCATTGCAGTTTTGTCAAATTTCTTCTGTAAATCAACAAGTGGAAGCTATGCCAGGTAAGCATTTTGAGTGTGTAAACTGCTCTAAACTTTTTTGACAAGCTTGTATCAACTCAATCTTTTACAAGAGGTATTTCATTTGAAAGGCACATTCTCTGTTCAAGCCATTTGGCAGAGCTTTGGTAGGTTTGGGACATGTTTTTCATCAGGTCATTTGGATATTTTATGTGTGCTCTTGCTTTCCAGACCAGGATGTTGTTAGCACTTCCAGTGAAGAGGAGATGGGTAAGTTGTTATATTTCTCATGTGTCATGCTTCTCTTCAGCTAAAAATGAGGGAGTTCTTCAGATAAGGTTGCACAGACAAGGTTGCACTTAATAGAATGGTTTTGTATAGTGCCTCCATATGTATAATTTTACATTGTCCTTTCACATATAGTACTTTCAATGAAAGACAACATCTATAGTAGTCGTGGTATGGTGAAACATGAGCAGATGGCTCAGTACTACAGTAATGGTTGGTGGTGCAGGAACTAGGGTGGAGCTTCCTGAAAATTGAACATTGCCTTTAAAGATATTGACAAAAAGAAGAAATGTGAAATGTCAGCTAGCTCTCAGTATACAATTGTTGACTAAACATGAAGTCCTTAACTTTTTTAATGAGGAAAAGGATTTTTCATCACTCCAAACTAGATTATAAATAGTTATATGCAGCAATAGTGCTGCTGCAGCCTTCATCACTTAAGGAGCCATGTTCAACATGTTATAAGTTAGAATGTTTTGCTCTCCCACCTTGTGTGGTTTGTATTTATGCTGCAACAACATGCATTGTCTGGTGCTATTTTCCTTCTGCTTTGCCTACAGTGACAGGTTTTGAAGGCATGCAATATTTTCATCTTCATTTTGCTCATTGCACCTATGCATTCACCAATGTGATTTGGGAGCATACATCAGAACACAGTGAGGCTCTAAAGTATGTTCAGGCAGTCCAGTGGTCCAACAGTACATCCATGGACTATCACAGAACAGAAATGTGCATTACATTGTGACATATTTGTTACCACCTCTACCAGATGTTAAACCTCCTTCTTTTAGACCTGGAGAAGGCTGAAGACAAAGGAGAACTTGGAGACATGAAGACCTTTACCTGGGATGCTGACACATTGGTTTGTTGCATTACAAATATAGTTGTCTCCTAACTTTTCATTCACTTAGCACATTATGGTAGTGGCGAGGTAGACAACTCATAAGACAAACATTGCAGTGTGATCATGGCAGTTCTTATTAGTCAGTTTTATCTCTTGCATGGTGCACTTATTGGTTTTGGTTTGACTCCACCAAAATGTTGATGGTGGTGTCACATTCAGTTCCAGTTTCTTGTGCATGCTTTGGTAATCCAAGTTTGCCAAGTTTTAAAGGATACCTGCAATGCCAGCAATATCTTCAGGTGGTAATTGTGTACATAGGAGGTAATGTAAGTGTTACACTTCTTGCCATTCTCCCTAGATGGCTATAAGTGCGTGAAATGCCCTTGAAACGTTTGAGAGGAGTCAGTTTGTTGGCCAAGCACACCCCTGTAGACAGTGGGACCTGTCAGCTGGCGTCCCCTATCCAGCCGCGAGTAAACGGCGCCGGTGCGCCGCAGGACATCGACCTGAACCACCAGCGGATCAGCCGGATCGAGAACCTGCAGGACTGCCCGCGCCTCGAGACGCTCTGCCTGCGCTGGAACCTGCTGACGCGCATCGAAGGCCTCGGCGCGTTGCCGTGCCTCACCGAGCTCGACCTCTACGACAACCAGCTGACCAAGATCGAAGGCCTCGAAGCGCTGGTCAATCTGGAGTGAGTCGGCCGGCGGCCCGGGCGGAGGCTGGCGGCCGCCCCACAGCCGCCGAAGGCGACGGCTGTGGAGCGGCCATCTAGTCCGCGTAGAAAGTCGGATTGGAGGCGTGCCGTCGCTTTTGGCTCGGGGAGAATTGGGAGGTGGGTTCGCTGTTGGCTTGGGAAGAATTGGGGGAGAGAGTCGCGTTTGGCTTGAGGAGCATTGGAAGAGGGGGTCGCCTTTGGTTGGAGAGAAACTGGAGAGGGGGAGCATCGCTGTGGGGGAACTGTTGTTATTTGGAGCGTGTCTTGTATAATGCCCTTGCTGACATGCAGGTGTGATGCAGCGCACCTTTCGCCCGCCAGGGAGCTCGATCTCTCGGTCAACCGCATCACGACCATTGAAAACCTGTCGCACCTCACCAACCTGAAGAAGCTGTTCCTCTGCATGAACAAAATACAGGTCATCGAGAACCTGGAGGGCTTGCAGGCCTTGGAAATGCTGGAGCTGGGAGACAACAAAATTCGCGTGAGTCACTGTGGTGTCATGCTGTTATGTGGCATCGTGACTTGTGATGGGATGTGCATGGGGTCCCGATGGTACGAAGGATGCGTCTTGCTGCAATGTGGTCGTCGAGGCTATGCAAAAGAGGTCTGAAGGGAAATGTCCCAATGCCTTGTTTCAAAGTGGGGGTGCAACTTTCATCTGGGCACTCGTGAAGGCGATTGAAGTGCTCGCTGTTTTTCATGCTGCCGAGGCGCTGAATCTCCACCTGTCAGGGTGGAAAGATGAGAGGTCCGTGCTCCCAACAGAAAATCGCCAACCTGGACAGCCTGACGAACCTGACCAGCTTGTACCTGGGCAAGAACAAGATCAACAAGATCGAGAACCTTGACAAGCTGACCAAGCTGCGGGTGCTCAGCCTTCAGGTGAGGGACCGCCGGCCGAGGGACTGTCCTGACTCGTCTGCCCGGCTCAGCGACTGTGCTTGTCCCAAAAATCATGCGGCGAGGGGCTGGCCAGCCTGTCTCGATGGCCGTCTCCGGCTGTAGCATCGCGGTGGTTACGGAATGAACTCACCGGCGGGTGAACGGTTCAGGTGCGCCGAGTACATTCGGGGGACGGGGTTGGCTCCCAGTATGTTATGGGCCAACGATAGGCGGAACAAGGCGGCGAACCGCTTGGTGTTTCGTCGCTCCTGCCGCTTTCCGTAGCGTTTCGAGCGCAGCGCTCTGGCAATGATTTCAGTGAACGAACACCACGAAACACCAGCAATAACAGGGAACAGTTAAACTGTATGGGGAGAGGACGTGGAGATGAAGCTTGGCCTGGCCGTTGGAGCCGCCTCAGACAGTTTGGTTGGCCCGGCTCGTGAGTCACATGGTCCCGTTCTCCCGGAGACGAGCCCGCTGAGCCGACGGTGGAGTTTACAGCGCGCCGCCGTGATGGCGGTGGTTTTGGGGCTGTCCATCACCTCGACTGTTGTGACTGGGCCGTGCCTGGCGTCCCTTGGCGGTGCTTGTGACGGCCGGCCGCTCGGGCATCGTGCCATGGGGAAGCATGAGTCTGGGTGCTGTCGGTCATATCGTGTCATATTTATGATTTACGGGTGGTGAGGGCGCTCCACGCAAGTTCGTTTTTTTAGCACGAAAACGAATCCCGTGTTGCGGCACGCTTGTCCCTGATGACTACAGCGCGCAGCGTGGTGGTTTGCGACGAAACTTAGCGCTATTGCGGCGTGTTCGTCGTCGAGTGGCTGTCGGTGGCTGCCGAGTGTGCCGTCTGCCCTCCGTCGTTACGTTTCCCTGCTGCTGCTGGTGTGTCGGTGCGCTGGTGCGTCGTGTCCGACGCCGCCCCCGCCCGCCGCCAGAGTGACCGCATCACGGTGATGGAGGGTCTGCAGCAGCTGGCCCAGCTGGAGCAGCTGTACCTCTCCCACAACGGCATCAGCCAGATCGACGGTCTGGAAGGTAACCGCAGCTGAACACGCTCGACCTCGCCTCCAACCGCATCGCCAAGCTGGAGAACATGGCGCATCTCACGGAGCTGGAGGAGTTCTGGGTACGTGACGTCCGAGCCACCGGTGGCGCTGTGGACGTGGCCTGCGCGGGTTGACGGCATATGGGCCGGTCAGCCCGCGTGCGCCACCCGAGTATGAGTTGTTCTCGGTGCGTGCCACCCGAGCTGGGGAGGTTTGGACGTGCTGCTCAGCCCGCATGCGCCACCCGAGTGTGGGCTGTTCTCGGTGCGTGCCATGCGGGCTGGAGAGGTTTGGACGTGCGCCACCCGAGTGTGGGCTGTTCTCGGTGCGTGCCGTCCGAGCTGGGGAGGTTTGGACGTGCCGCTCAGCCCGCGTGCGCCACTCGAGTGTGGGCTGTTCTCGGTGCGTGCCGTCCGAGCTGGGGAGGTTTGGACGTGCCGCTCAGCCCGCGTGCGCCACCCGAGTGTGGGCTGTTCTCGGTGCGTGCCGTTCGGGCTTGGACGCGTCGCCACTGCCGCTGTGCATGGGGCCGCGAGAGAGGGAGAGGGAGGGACCAGCGCTCCCAGGGCAGATGGCTTTGTGAGATCAAAGCGTGCAACAATTTCGGCAGATAACTGTGTGTGTGTTGTGTTACGTGTATGCTTGCACTTGACGCACGCCAGCGAGCTCGCACGAGTCAACCTCCACGCCCCTCCTGGCAGTGCAACGACAACCAAGTGTCGGACTGGGTCGACCTGGCGCAGCTGAATGGCGCCAAGCAACGCGAGAGTGTGTACCTGGAGCGCAACCCGCTGGCGCAGGACGTCAACTACCGGCGCAAGCTGAAGATGGCGCTGCCGACCCTGACGCAGATCGACGCCACGCTGACGCGGTAGGACCGGCCGGTGCCGCGGGCGGGGAGGCGGGGAGGCAGACTCCCGGCGGAAGGGAGACGGCGCTGATCTGAAGCGCGCCCATTGTTTTTCCGGTGTGGAGGGTTTGTGCGCAGCGGGCCAGTGCGTCGCTGGAGATTTGTTCCTCCCTCGTGGAGTGGTGCGGGCGCTCCGTGCCGACCACCGCTCGGCGATGCGTGGAGAGGTGTGTGGTTCACGCGCTAACCGCCGCGTGGCGCCGCCGCCGACAGGACGTCGCAGTACTCGCTGATGAAGCCTTCCCGACTGTCTGTAGGTGGCGATGATGTCTCGACCGGCGCGCGGTCTAGAGCTGTAGTTTATTTCTGGGGAAGGGTGCTCTTGCGCAGCGTTTTGCTTGACTTCTTGCCGCGTGGGAGGCTCGCTTTGCTCGTGGGTGGTACGTCGGCTATGGAGCCGGAACATGCTCCTGTTGTGCCACCAGCCTGTGCGCGATGCGGCTCCAGAAATGCCGCAGGAATGTGCGTGACCAGCTGATCTGTTTACCGTCGTATTGTATGTCAGTTTTCTGCACGATTCTGTTGGTTTACCAAAGCGCGTCAGGGCCTCGACCGGGGTCTGGCATACCGCTGTTCCAAGGATCCGTTTCGTACGACTTTAGGCGACGATGATTATTGCTAGTTAGCTGAGGGCCGAAGTGCTCGGAACAATAAACATTCACTGCATAGCAGTGCTGAGCCACTGTGTTACTGTCTGTGACGTCGCGCTGAGAGATCTCCGCAATGTAAGAAACCTACGATCTGTATTGAGTGCGAGGATATCGGTACGATACAAGTCACGCCGGCGGAACGCAGCAGCTGACCTGAGGTCGGCTGTGGGACTGCCAGCCGACCGCGGCCGCACGGTTGGCGACTCGGCGGTGACGGCGGCGAGTCGAGCCGCAGGAATCACGTGCTCCAGTCCGCCCGTCCGGCTCGCCGCTGCCCGACGAGATCTGCCGGCCGGCCAGTCGTCTGCAGCGCTGGGGAGGGTCGGGTCCGCGCGGCGCGGGCGCTCGCCGCCACGCGTCCCCACACGAGCCACCACCGCGGCCATGCCTGCCGGGCGGCAAGTCGTCCCAGCCGCCCGGCCGCCGCCGCTCTACTCTGTGCGTCTCGCAGAGCGAGCCGCGCCCCCAGCCCTCAGACGCCCGCCGCCCCGCGGCGCGCTGCCCGTGGCCGCGGAGACTCGTCGCGTGCCGAGTGGAGCGCGCTGGGTCGGTCGGTCGGTCGGTCGCGGCACGCCGGCAGCGGGTCAGCGACCGAGCATGGCGCCCGAGAACTGGCTGCCCTTGAGCGCCACCACGCGCGCGCGCGACGCGTTGTCCACGTGCACGGAGGCGTACTGGCCTTGCTGAGCTCGAGCACGCCGTGCAGGCTGGCGGTGTGAAGAAGGCGCGCCGTACCCAACGCTGGAGATGTACTGCAGGGAGCCTGCCGGCAGGGGGCACGTCAGACCGGGTTAAGAGTCCGCGCGGTCACGGGGAGGCGAGTGGTGGTATTGGCGGCGTTTAGGGCGTCACGAGGCGTTGCGTGAAAGCAAGACCGATGGTGAAAGCGTCGGATGAAATCTGTCTCAGGCGTCTGCGGCCAGCGACAGCGACGGTCGCCTGGTGCGGTTAATGTGGGTCGCCAAGCAGAGCCAAGGACGTCCGTGTCGTCGAGGAAGCGGTAGCCGCTGTGCTGCAGCGCATGATTAAACGAATTCCCCCTAAGTCGTCGGCAATGAAACTCACGTAGATCGAGAATGACCGAATGGGTTACACTTACCACGTAAGAAATCGATGACTCTTGAATAATGTTTTCGTTTTTAAGCACATTCTTTCGGCCCATACCATACCCCAGACGTAAAAACTATTACACCCCTCCCTCCCCTGTGCCATATAACGCGACGTGCATCGCCACAGATCCATCTCCGCCAGCCTTGCACCGCTCCTCAGCCACTCACGTGTTGCGCTTACAGCGCGAGTCAATGCAGACGAGGACGCGCAGGAGCTTATGCTGCGGCTTGTGGCGGCCCTTGGCCTTGCCGGCCGGCCGCGCCCGATGGCGCGTCGCCTGCCCGAGTGCTGGCGCAGGAAGATCTGCGCCGACAGCTGGTACACGCCGTCCTCGGGCGCGCGGAACCGGCCCGTCTCCAGGTCCAGGCCGGCGCCACGCTGGAACGCGCCGCCGCCGAACGGCTGCCGCAGGGGGGGGGGGGAAGGGGAGGTCAGCGCAGGCCGGGGGGACGGCTGGCCGCGGGTCGTTGGCTGGTCCTATACAGGCCTGCTGTTTGGGTGAGCCGTAGTTATTTTGATGCAACTTGTTGGTTTGGGTGGCCGAGGTTGAAGTGCCTTACCGAGGATGTCTATTCACAGATCACACAGCTTCGCGGTAGGTCATGATAGGTTGGGAAATGGTCACGAATCGTTGAGATTCTCATGCTTCCGTGTGAACGATCATTGGGGGGGGGGGGGGGGTACGAGCGGCAATGGACGCGTGTTCCACATTTGCAATACTGAAGCTGCAAACGTTCCTCAAAGGTCATGGGAATTCACGAAAAAACTTCAAGAAGAACGTTCAGAAGCTTCGAATAGACACGTCGCTACTTACCAGCTGGTACTTGCTCAGTTCCACGAACATCTTTGGCGGAACCACCACCTTCTCAGCCAACCGTACGTGGAAGGCTGACTGCACTCTGGACACTACCGCCACCATCTTCCAACTGGAATAGCGATGGTGTCGCCGCCTTGCGGCTCTTCTCGGAACCAGTTTCGTTGGCAGCATGAAGTAAACTGTTTAAATGCTCTCCCGCTGCCTCTGAGGAAAGCAAATCTAGTGTGGAAAAAATCGTTCAGGAGATGTTGGCATTACATCACATTTTCTACCAGAGTAAACCGAAGTAAAAAATATGAATATGGCATCTTTGCACCATGCGGCGACTAGTGGGTTTTAAAGCAAACGTTTCGACAGTTTTGCAATAAGCACTGCTTTTTTAGCAAGGCGTGGCTGGAACCTTCGACATTTCTTATGAACAGGCCTCCGATTATACTTTCGAGCATGCAACTGCGGCGGAAGCGACGCCTCCCGTTTCAGTCTCTTGTAATCTCCGCGCTGACTGCAACGGAAACCTCGGCGGCGCCTCTGCCCGCCACTGACCCTGGATCATCTGACGGAGTTCGCTGACGAGCAGCTCCTGGGTGACGACGGCACCGGGCGGGCCGGGGGGCCCGGGCGGACCTGGCGGGCCGCGTCGCGTCGGCAGCGGCAGCTCGCCAGCGCCGCCCCGCCGCCGCTGCTTCCTCCGCCTGCGCGCGCGCCGCTCCACGTCCTCCGAGTGGCGAATGAACGCCCGCCACGTGTCGGCCGGCGGCGGCAGAAGACCGCCCTGCAGCGGAGGTCGCGGTCAGTCAGAGTTCAAGGTCAGAGGCGCGTCCAGCGACAGCTCGAGATGGGAAAGACCTTCGAATGGGATATGGGTATAATATTAAACTGCATTAAACCCTGACGTCACCATGCGCTCATTCAAGTGGGCCAACAAGTAGCCCACAGCTCTGTGCCACGAGCATACTGCTCACCATCTCACAGTCGACCTTACAGTTTTTTTCTGAGTCGTATAAGCCAAACAAGTCTGCTTCTCGCAGGACCCCCTCACCACCTCTTCTACAGAGCGATGGAGCGAGACGATCGATCACCTGAGCTAAGCACGCTACTACTGCGGCAGTGACTCCGGCCTACACATTCTCCCCGCATTTAATAACGCTGGCAAACCAGGCAAGTGCAGCTGGTGGCCGCTGTCCCGACCGAGCGGCGGGCCAAGGGCGGCTACAGTGGCGGCGAACCTGCCCGCCTCAGGTAGGGTTTTCTTCCACGTGATCCGTGCGCACATACACGCACATGGTGCTGGTGAGCATGCATTGTATGTGCCAATGCTATTCTCTTTCGTTAGCTGCAAAACCATATGAACCGGACAAAGTGGCCGCCCGATCAAAACAACGTAAATTCTTAGCGGTTAACCATAACTGGTGTAATAGAGCCCTTCCCAAATGTCCGCCGCCCCCCCCCCCTGGTTATGGGCAATACGCGTTTGGTCACCCAGCTACCTTTCGGCGATGTGTCCGCTCCGTGACCTTGCGGTCATGGGGTCGATGTCGGCTGTCGGCTGAAGAGTGTCCATCGCCGGGCATCTGGAACAGGAGGCGCAACATTCACAGCTACAACAGCCACATGCAGACATGGGCCTGAAGCCCCGCGTAGATCGCGGGATCCCATTAACATGTAACTTTATGGGATCCTGGATCCACCATTGGGGTCCAGGCTGGCCACAAACATTGTTGAAACAATGCGTTGTCTCTCCAACAGAGGCAGCGTGTTGAAAAATCTTACACAGAAGGTTGACGGCATGAAATCTTATAATAGAAGGATGGAACAACAGGACGTGAGCAAAACTTAACGCTGACGTCCGTAGAAGGCTGTGTCCGCGGACACACTTGTCACATCACAGGTCTCATCGCAGCAAGAAAAGGTATATATATATATATATATATATATATATATATATATGACAACATGACAGTGAAGTATCTAAGGGCCAGATGCAACACCGCATGTGGATGTCCACTGTCGGATGCAGCTCTTGTCCCTAACCGGTTAAAAGGCAGCGCTGCGGTGGTACAAACTCATTGAGCTATACTAACAAAAAAAAACACACACACACAAGGCGGGTTGTGATCGATCACACTTCAAGCCCCCTCTGCTACCGATCACCGCGCGCCCGGCCGGCGTACGTCTCAATGTTGGTGTTGTGTTGGACTACCAACTGGTCCTGGTAAAATCGTGACCACCTCTGTACATAAATACGACATCACTCACACCTTCCTCGGGTGTTCCCCTGCCCAGCAGCGCCCCAGCCCAGGCACACCACCACCATCGGCAGCCCAACGCAAAGCGATTCACGTCCCCCTCCCCCTCCCCCAGCGGTGCTGGCGCCCGCGCTGCCTGCTCGGCGCGCGCCTCGTTCTCCTTCGCTCACCGGCGTGAGAAGCCGCTACAGCAGAATGTTTCCGGTAGACGTTGCACGCGGCAA